GTGGGTGTGGGTGTGGGTGTGGGTGTGGGTGTGGGGTGTGTGTGGGTGGGTGTGGGTGTGGGTGTGGGTGTGGGTGGGTGTGGGTGTTGGTTTGAGTGTGGGTGTGGGTGTCGGTTTGAGTGTGGGTGTGGGTGTGGGATGAATAAAAGCAATACCCACACCCAACTCCTTCAAACATAAAATTTCGAAAGAAAGCAAAATTTGAACCAAAAGTGATGATTTGGATGGCCATCTCCACAAAGGGAATTTCCGACGTTTACGTTCACAAAAGCAAGTTAGGTGTTGATCAAAAAAAAATATTTACAAGAATGTATCAATAAACGATTAATACCATTTATTGATAAATACCATTATGATGGAAATTATTTATTCTGGCCTGATTCGGCAAGTTCACATTATTCCAAAGTTGTGCAAGAACATTTAAATAAAAAAAACATATCATTTATTTCTCGTGATGATAATCCACCAAATGTACCACAAGTACGTCCAATTGAACGTGTTTGGTCTGTACTCGAACAGAAAATATATGCAAACAACTGGGAAGCAAAAAATGCAGATCATTTGATTCGAAGAATCAAACAAAAGGCAAAAGAACTTGATCAACCAACGTTGCAAGCCATGATGGAGGGTGTTCGGAAAAAGCTTCGGTCTATGTGGCGAGATGGACTGTATTCAGTCTGTTAAATATAGTTTTTTGTTGTACTTTTCATGCTCTTTCTAATAAAAAAAATTAGGTTTTATCTTTTGAAACGGCTGAGTTGTGTAGGTCAACATTTTTCCAAAGACTTTTGCATCGTGCATTATATAAGAATAAAATAATGTTTTTTTTTTCTATTCTATTATTTTAAACATTCTAATGAAGACGGATCAGTTTTTCTCCCTCCTTGCAATGGAATGCTTAAAACAATAGAATAAAATAACGAAGACATTATTTTACTCTTATTTTCTTCTTCTTCCTATTTATTTGTGTCTAATAATGTTCTGAGTTAGAAAAAAACGTCACAATGGCTGATTTAGGTAAATCAATTTAAAAAAATGTTAAATAGCTTAGTTTCGTTAATGATTTCATTATAGAACTTGTTATTTTACTGAGCTCGTCGTTGACTGAAACTCTTACGCCAAGAAACCTTTGTTTTTTAACTCTTATACCATAAAAAGAATATAATACTGAGTATTTATTCCGTTTTCAGTTTAAATCTTAAACGAACAACTAGATCATGAATATACACAGGTCATCAAGATTACGGTAATCAAATAAAAAACTTAGTTGCTCGATTTAGTTTTGTAGTAATAGATTTTTTTATCTACGACAGACGACTGTTAAAGAATGAGAAAAAATAGTCTCAACAATGAATAGATTTTAGAAGTACGTCAATAGTGTAGCTGTTTCATATTTTCTTTTGAGAAAATAGACCAAAAAATTGAAATCTTTTTATCTATGGTATTTTTTTCCTAGAATTTTTCGTTTATCGTACCAGTTCATTGATTCTTCTTAAAAGTCTAACTTTCCTTATCGCATACATATATGATACTAATAAACTAATTTACATTCTTTTTTCATTATTCATAGAGATTATCATAAATCACAACTTTGTAGCTAATTCTATATTTCTCCATAGGCATTAGAATAAACTAGACTTGAGAATTAGTAACAAAAACTTGAGAAGACTTCGATAAAATATTTATCACATGTAAGACAAACGTATCATCCTTGAGCGATCGACAAAATTCTAATTACCTACGGAAAGTACAGAAAAAAAAACTTTACAAAACGATCGATGTGTCAGAGGAAAGAGTTTAGTCAGATTTTTGTAATATTTCAACGCCTTCTAATGAAAAAGTCTCATTTTATTCTCAAGACAACAGAAAAGTTAAATTTTTAAAAAGTCAAAATATTTATTTAAAGAAATGAAAGTTCATACATCTTTAAAACATAAGGCATGGGTAGAAGTCTTTTGAACAAATATCAATACAAAAAGAAAAGTTTTATAGAAAAGACTTCTATTCATGTCTTGCGTTGTATTGATGCCGAACTTTAATTAAACATTTTGACTTGTTATAAATTTAACTTCCGCTTTTTTGAAAACAAAATGAGAACTACTCATTGGGATGCATTGAGATATTGACAAAAAACGAACGTGTATTGTTCATCATCAAATTAATAAAATTAGATGAATGGTCAGGTTACAAACAGGACGAAGATGATTCTTGAATATTAAACTTTTTTTTTCAATTAAAGAATCGTTCACAACAGATCGTATAAAGCAAATTTATGGTTTTAATGTCAACGAATCACTATTTGGGTGTGGTGTGGGTGTGGGTGGGTGTGGGGGTGTGGGTGTGAGGTGTGGGGTGTGGGTATGGCTGGGTGTGGCTGGGTGTGGCTGGGTGTGGGTGGG